CCCTTATGATTCACAACTCAAAGACTAGAAAACCGTTGTGGAACATACGAGCTGCGGATGTGACCGTAATATAATTTTGTTATTTGACATCAAACTCCCGGTTTCCGGTCAGAGGGCTCTAATCGTAACCGCTACTTTGTGATGCTAGTTGGCGGCAGAACCACACGGACAGAAGACTCGAACCACATTCTTGTTGGCATGAAATTACTTTGATTGTTAATATAAATGTCTTGATTGACTTCAACTAACAGAAAGTAAATTAGCTGCAACATAATTCTATCACACATTTAACTATCATATGTATGTATATGTGTGTGCACACACACAACACATACATACATACATATATATATAATACATACATACATACATACATATACATATCATACATAAATACATACATACATACATACATGTAATGCACTACTTTTGTTTCGTGAAATGATGAGGAATTTTGCAGAGATGAAATAATTGGACAAGTTTTTCAGGTGTAACCAGTTTGAAAAAAAATGATGAGAAGGAAGCCCCGAAATGCACATGTGAAGTAAATTGATAAGTAACGAATTAAATGTGCCCAGCTGTGTTTATATCCTTGGAATTGCAAATTTACCAACTAACTTGCGACTTGAATTTGTTGCTTATGCTTCCCTAGAAGGAGTATACTATACCTGTTTCATCCTTTCGTCCACTGTTCTCTGAAGCTATACATATAGCATACTAATTCATTTGCTTTTAATCAATTTTGATGATGTTGTTATTGGTCAATGGTGCCTTTCAGGGAAGAATGTTCAAACTAACTTGAGCTTGATGATCCAGAAATTATTTATGAACAAACAAATTGAATGAAACCTCATGTTCTTTTAATTCTATAAAGGTGGTGTTTTCGTTTGTTTTTCTCTCTTTTATTTTAAAAGGAGTCGTCAGCTTGTCGATCGTCGTATGCTTCCCCTATTCGAATAAATCTCCCACCCGAATCAGATCAATGATTCGAAAAGGAGAGGAACCGAATAAGAATGAATATACGACAAAACAACAAACAAGAGAAAACACAAAACGTGGAGAGCCTACGTGCGGTAAACCTCGCAATGATAGGTTAAGAGTGTCCGCCCAAACAAGATCGGGCGAAAGCACCTTAAACCGATATCCACGAAAGAATACCTACGTAGAC